CGCGCGATAATCAGGACAGAGAGTATGGACTTGATTCACCTTTGCCCACGAGCCGTCCGGCAAGAATGTGAGCAAGTATTTCCACGTCCAGTAGGAAGTAGGGAGACCGCCCCTCACTCTCGTCAGCTGTACATACATCATTGCGTAACTAAACTTCTGAACTTTTATCAATTTCTTTTCAAGCTCTGCTTTAACACGTGATTGCCTTCTATGAAGAATCCAATGGTACTGCTTGGCATTCACATACATGGGCTCATGTGCCATTTCCATTGGCAGCAGCATCCTCATATGATGCATATCATATATAAGAGGAACCTGATCAAAGGTACAATCATTATTGTTTCTTCTTCCTTTTCTGGGCAATTTGAGATTACACCACATCTAATTAAATTGAAACTATTTTCCCAAGAATGTCGAAAGATCATATGATAAGAGATAATATACTCCCAAAAAAATTATGACAACTACAATATTAACAGATTGATTTGAAGTCTTCAGCTAAAGTAATAAATCGATACAAAGGGGGCTTTTGGGATGGCATAGTCGAAGGGGGCTTTCGGGATGTCATAACTATGCCATCCTAGGGTAGCAATTTTGCCGTCCATTAAGAGAATAAACAATGGAAAACATTAGGCACGGAGTGAAATTTAGTGCCTATTTGAGCCCCATTTTTATTCTAAGAATGTATTTTGAAATAGTAGATTGATGAAAAATGTGTGGTCAAAAGATAAGGAAAAATTTTGGGTTTGCGTACAATATTATTTTATCGAAGAATGTGTGGTTGAAAAAAAGGGAGAGATGCATTCTGTAAATAATGAGAATTTATTAAATTATTCCAATCCCATTTTGCTAACATGATATTGAGCTACATATGACCTATTAACACAATAACAAATGTTATATAAAATTTCAAATATTACAAACAAGCAAAAATAGAAAAAAAGATTCTTAAGAAAGTTTTGACTGTGCATGAAATTCCTGATCCACATTTGGACAGGATCTAACATTTCATTAGCGGGCTCCACCTAAATTGACAGATGGCTGTTCATTGGTATCAACAGTCACCTCACAGTTTAACTTCTTGATCACATGCAGCCGCAGTCAATGCACAGCCATGGTTTCACGGGTTACCTTTCTTCTTAGCACAGAAAGGGACACCGTGCGGCAGTAGT